TTGTATTATTGTGTGAGAAACTGAGTATGTTCCTAAATAATGTGCTTTTCAACCAAAGTTTCAAAACAAAGGACCATTCTGTAATAGATTTTTATTCTGTTCTTGACCACTACCAGCAGGTTTATTGACCTTCTGGAGCAATTTTTTTGACCAAGCTGCATTAAATCATATTTTATATTAACTAGAATTACCATTGCTCGCTAGTATGCCTCCGCCAACCGGATAAATTTACAGGAATGGGACAGACATGAAGTCACTGACCCTGACCTTTGAACACCAAAATCTAATTAGTTCATCTTTGAGTCCAAGAGGACACTTGAGCCAAATTTGAAGAAATTCCATCAAGCTGTTCCTGATATATCGCATTCATAAGAACTGGTCAGACAAACAGACATACAGCCCGAAAACATAATGTCTCTGGCCACGGCTATTGCTCACATGGAGGCATGAAATTGATCTAATACCATGAGTAAATTTTTAAAAAGTGCTCTTAGACATAAAGTCGCAAAAATTTATCACCTGACTCTGTAGGCCTTCTCAACTCTACCGAGCATTTTAGCATCTTACACAAACTTACTGTTCTGATTCACTCTTACTACACTCATCATTATTATTTTCAGTAACAACAGACATCTGTTCTCAGGCATAAATCTCTGATAAACCCATTGTACCATACCTGCCTTACACCAAACAGCTGACAGACAAAATTAGAGCTGGTGAAGATTGTGGAGACCAAAATATTGGACTTACATTCACCAAGTGGGCACTAACACAACTCAGAATAAATGCTAATGCTGCTATTTAGCACCTGCTAATTGTTAGTGAACGGATTCACAACATCTTTAAACAGCAATGCTGTGTTTAAAGCTTAATTATGTAATAAAGGCAATTGGTGCAGGTCAGAAATGCATGCTTTTAAATAATTGAACTGTAGGAGCAATCATGCCAAACATGAGGTAACCATTGTTAGGAAGAAAGTGTTTTTGTTTTCTGGGGGAAAGTGTTCAACATATTCTGTAAAATGCAGAGGTGTTACAGAATATAACTGAGCAGTTCCAGGGGAAGGGAACAAACTGGTTCAAGAATAAATTCAGAATTCAGTGATCTTCCTCTTAAAGCATACAGTATCTATAGAAAACAGACTCTTAGGCAATGTGATTTGTGAGAGTCTGTGTGTGTGTGTGTCTGAAATAGACTGTGCAAAGGATGTCAGTCACAGCAACTTTTCATGCAGTAAGCATGGAGCTCTTGACAAGAGACTCAATCAGCAGCACTAAAGCCTGCCTCTGCCTTCGGTGCCTACTCTTGTGTCGACTAATCTCCACTGTAGGATGTAGAGGAGCCATTTGATATTGTCTTCCCTGGTGTTTTTCATTATCACCGTCTTACTGCAGCCTGATGGTGGCATTACCTCGACATTAGTGGGCTTGACAGGACGAGAATCACCACACAATCCTGTCACAACCTCCAATCTCTGCTGTAACCCTACTCGCATTTCAAAGCCCCTCTGCCTCTTCTTATGATTCACCTGTTTTTTATCTCCTTTGAGGTGGATCCACATCGGGGTCATGGACAATATTTTGGGGGAGACTTACTAAGAGGTTAGGATATTTGTCAGAAACCAAATTGCATTTAGAGAGCAGAGAAAATGAATAAAAATGCAATTTGATCTTCTTCTATCTTTTTCACAAATATCACTCTACCGATACTGATTTGTTGAAATTATATTAATTTAATAACTGTGTTAACTACATTTAACATTTCTGAAAACATGGTCCTTTTTGTAATAAACTCACACTGCACAGTTTATTTCACAAGCACAAGTTTAACCCAGTCATGCGCTGCAAACGTACAGGCTTCTACTAATTAAAGCTGCATCAACTAAGATTTAGCACAAATTTGGATAAATCAAGTTAAAACAGTGTCTAGAAGTGTTTTCTCCCTGCTGTACTTAGACACGTAAGTAGCCGATTAACGTGTATATGTCGGCATCATTAGCAAGTTAATGCTAGCATTTCAATTTTGTATCTTTGTATTGAATTATTCTGGTAATTTGGAGTCATTCCAACTGACTGCAATGTTAGTGTACATGTCCTGCAGCTTTATTTCTAATGAGCAATATTAAATTTGTGCTGGTCAGAAGGGTGAATTCTTTTTCCTTCCCATTTTAATTCTTTTGCATCATTTACTGTACCTCGCCCGCCTCAGGCAACAGCAGATCTTATAGTATGTCAGCCTGAACTGGAGGTCTCCTCCCAACTACATCTCAACCAGAGGCCTGAATTAAATTTGCAGATGTCCTTTTCTAAGCCAGATCAGTAACAATGGTTTGTATTTCTTTTAACTTTCCTACAGTATCAATTTGGTTGCTATAAGCTTTATATAGTACTTGCAACTTACTACCGTATATTTATTTCTATTCTATTGCTCACATCTGAGCACAATTTCAGCTGTGCTAATGACATGGTGCTAGCAATGGCAGTGTTGTTCCGTTAGTTCACCACTGTGGTCTTGACTGAAATATCAAAACTATTTGATCGATTGTCCGTGTGTTCATGTGGCCCCTGGAGAGTGAATCCTACTGGTTTTGTAGAGCCTTTGACTTTTCCTCCAGTGCCACCAAGACATTTACATTTGTTGCTTTGAGTGAAATACCTCAACATCTATTAGATGGCTTTCCAACATATCATCCAAGCTGAATAGTCGTATGCTGTAGGTCTGCACTCTGCTATCGAACCCATTCATTTCTATGTGTTGTGCGGCGCAAGAACGTATCTGCTGAAGTTAAAAAAAAAGTTTAACTTGGGTGCAGCGCTCTGTGACGACACCTCGACACATCCAATTGCAGAGAACCTGACAGACCACAAAGAAAATGGGCCTGTGACTGCTTGTCCTGTACAGTTATCCATCCAGATTAAGACAAGCTGAAAGACTTGCACCTCAGGAAGCTGCAGATATAAATGCAAAGAAAATAATGAGACAGTGTCTTATTGCACTGACAGAAATCTCATCTGGCTTAAAGCAATACTTCATTCTGGCAGAACACTTTTACCTTTCAGCACACAAACCTTCGCAGCAGGTCAACATCTCCTGGGGATCCACAGTCAACACCGGCATTCAGACTTTCTCCCCTGCTCTTGGTATTGATATTTGCTAACAGCCAAAATTACTTTTTGGAAAGAATCATCAGGGATGTTATATAAAATAATAACTCCTGGATCAACTTTACCTTGTGTGTCATTACATTTTCAAATGAAAGTAAGAAAATAGCCAGTGGCTTTTTTTGCGGTCACAGCTAGTTGCTGAAACTGACTCAAACTCCATCAGTTTCTGAAACTAACGCTTTTTGAATCTGTCTCAGAGGTTACAATTCATGATCACCTGCCATGTTGATCGTTTTTAAAAGGTATATTATAGAAGGACAAAAAGAACTGGGGCAGCTGCAGCTAAGGAGGTGGAGTGGTTGTCCCCCAACCGGGAGGTTGGCGGTTAGGTTCCTGTTCTCCTAGTACACATGTCGAAGTGCCCTTGGGCAAGACACTGAACCTCAAGTTGCTCCTGATGGCCAGAGCAGCACTTTGCAGGGATGGCACCACTATTGGTGAGTGTTTGTGTGAGTTGGTGCTGATGATGGCTGCCTTGGTTCTGTACCAGAGAAAAATTCCGTGTGTGTAACATACTTGGCCAATAAAGGTCATTACCATTATGAAGTTAAATATCATCCTTATACAAAAGTGGCATCCAACATAATACAGATGCTAAGCCTGGATACATACTGAGAAGCTAACAGGTTACTAGTTCACTTCCCACTTCTTCCACCTATACATCCATTTATGCACTGAAAGAGTAGTAAAGCATAAAAGATAAAAGCACTGACAAAAGGATGCATATCATATTCTATTAACACCAGGCCCATTAGAGACTAATAGTCTACATTAGTATGACAGTCATCTGCAGAGGAGTTATTCCTGTTAATTATGAAGCAGAGATATGTAGTGGATATAGATTTCATTCTTTCATTGAGGGCCCTTTCCCTGCGCTGGTGAGTTGACCTTATCAGAGGAAACCACAGAAATCTGTGTATGTGTGTGTGTAACTGTGTGTACATGCAGGCATGAGAGCTACAAAACAACATAATCTACACAATATACAATGTAAATGTTCTTTCATTTTCTAAAGTGAGTAATTATCAGTGATTACTTCTTTTAATCCTTATTTTGTTTGTTAATTACCAGAACTTTCTCATAATTTTCTGGACACTGTTATTTTTTGTTATATTATTCACCATGTGTTGTGAATCCAACATCCTCTGGCGTCATCACCGAAACAGCATTTCAAAAGTCTCAATGAATGAGACTATTAAAGAAGTCAGATCTCCATTTGATCATCTCTACATTTTACAAACACAAGTTTCTTGATGAACACTTCCACCTAGAGGTCAATTGCAGCAAAACATTCTAGAGCCACTTTTAAGCTTGTTAGCAGCAATAGCACGTTGCTACCTGCATATGGCTGAGACCAGAGGGTAAGACTTTTACATGAGAGCTTATCATGAGCCTTTTATCTTAACTATTTTGATGTTACACATTCGTATAACATTCATCACTGACTACTGTTTGGAATGTGACAACTGCTCTCAAACACTGCTGTGCTTCATCGTACCACATTTATGTGTGGTTGTTGCTTTATTCCACTCATACCACACCAAAGCTGAGGATGTTGGATTTATTATATTCTGATGAGCACCACAAACAAATTTCCATTCACCGCCACTGTATAATTGTAATGTCAGACAATCACATCTAAAACCCTGGGAAAATAAAACTAAAACTGTCTGCATGACTAGATACCAGAGATGAGTGAGAAAACATATTTTTTAAAGTTTGGCGAACCAACCAGTCGGATTGGTGAGGGAGAATTCACACAACGCTGAGTCCATTTTCTCACAATAGCTATAATGTGACTAATCTTAAAATTCCTTGCAAAACAGAAACAAGGCCAGCATCATATACTTCTGTAGCACAATCGGGTTGTTTTGCACTGGTTGATCATGGTTTTAAAACACGAAACTCATTGTAAAGCAGCACTCAAGACAAGAAATTACACTGACAGTGTAGAGTACGTATTAAGTTAGATTTACTGGAATGTAAATATATTTTGAACAAGTAACAGAGAAAAAATCCTACAGTATGTACATCAAAGTCCTGTTAGTCAACAAATGTATTAAAATATTAATTTTAGAAAACATTGGTTTAATTAAAACATACTGACAACAGGGGTGGTTAAAGCTTATCAGGTGTCTAAACGTGCACCTTTCAGATCCAGCATGGACCTCAACTACATGTAAATTAGTGTTGGTTTTAAACTGTACTGCAGCAATGAAATGTCACTGTGTGACACCAGGTGAGAGTTAGAACGGTCTATTTCACTGGTACTCTTTGAGAAATTCTCTCATATAGGCAGCCAGGGCTTCAGTGTCCTCCACTGTCACGGCGTTGTAGAGGGACGCACGAATTCCTCCGACTGACCTGCAGGGGGAGACAAAGGTCTTCAAATGCTAAACGGAGCTATTACAAGAAAAATTTATGATGCATCCAAGTGCTGGTATTTATGATACAAATACAGGATTCAGTGATCTCTCTATGAAAAGCAGCTGAGATGATGCAAAAGTAGTTGATGCACCACAGGAGGAAGGTGTTTGACAAATTCAAACCTGTGTCCTTTCAGTGATATCATTCCACGTTTGGATGCGCCATCCAGAAACGCCTTTTCCAAGGCATCATCTCCTTCTTTCTTTCCTACACGAAATGGTATATTCATACGGCTTTGACAAGTCACGTCGACAGGACACCTGGACACAGCAGAGTTTAACTTAAATCAGTGTCTTCACTGTAGGCGTTTCATAAGGAAAGCATTCAAGGGACAGGAGGTGTGGGGTTTAGAAATCTGGTAACCTAGACTCAGGTGTGTGCATTACATAGTCCTTTTCTTAGGGCTTTGTTATTTTTTTCTCTTAGTTATATTATGAAAGAGCTCTTCTTTTAAAAGGCAAGTTGCTGTGTCACAACAGCAAAAATGTGTTTTCCAAATGAATAAAAAGTGCATCGATAAGGGTGCACGTTCTGTCAGTATTTCAGTTCATATTTTGCTTCTCACTGACTGACATGTCTTTTCATAGCTTTAATTTGTCTGAAAGTGAGCGTGTCTAAGACAGCTAATATTATAAGAGCTCAGCACAACACATTTACATCTTAAGCAAATGAAATCGATGAGTTACTATGTGAACGCATCTTTCAGTTGTTACAATGTACAAAACAAAATATACTTAACTAGGCTAAACATTCATGTGATTTGCACTAATTATTTTTGTTATACTTGTCTTTTTTAGCTCAATGTGCTGACCTGTAGCCCTCTGGCATAGCTTGATAATTTGTGAAGTAAAAGATAAATGAATGATAATTTGTAGTTGTTATATAAACAATAATTCATTATCAATGTCAGGTTTATAACATAAGATCCTCAAGTTTGTGGTTTAATGTCACTTGAAGATTATAAGGCTACAATATCAATTTCAGTTAGGATACATAATGATGGTAATATTTATTTTTTGTTTTCCTTTACTGTATAGCACTTGGAGCTACAATATTATGCTCTTAATTCTCCACTTTAACTTTTGTGAACCTTTTAGTGTCAGACAATCATTCGGCCGAGGATAATAGTAGTTCATTCTGATGCAGGCAAGTTTTAAATCTTATCAATGCAACAACACAAAGACTGAAACAGACCATGGACCTGGACCAGCGCTGATGCTTTGCACAAAGTTTTGACTGTCACAAAGCTTTGTGCCGCTGACATTCTGATACTCACACATAGAAACCATTAGAAGCATTGATGATGTCATAAATCATGGAGGACTTCTGCTTATTGAGCCTTTCCATGGCAGCGCTGCCACCGTTGTTCTTAATCCAGTCCAGCACCAGAGCCATGATGTAGATGCTGCACCAACAAAATGATGAACAAGAATCAAGCAGTGAAGGCTACAGCCAGAAGGCTGTGAGCTTGTCTTAGCATAACAACTGGAAACAAGGGGAAACAGTCAGCCTGGCTTTGTCCAAATGTTAGTTGGCAATAGTGTCATATTCAATAGATATGACAGAGTGCTCTCAACTTTCTCATGTAACTTTCAGCCAGAACACAAATAGGCACATCTCAAAATGTTAAACTTACTTTACAATTCATCTGGCAAAAAATGCTAACAAGTTTCAGGAGACAACGTTTTACAAATTGATTTCACCTAGCTGACAATAATATACTGATAATCCTCAACCTGATGGGGCTTCTGATGTCAACACAAATGAGTCTGTACCTGAAACACGGCGGTGTGTGGTATAGGGAGTTCATCTCAGCCTGCACCTTGTAGTCCAGGACAATCGGACACTCCTTCAGAGCGTGGCCTAACAAGTCCTCTCTCACGATGACCACAGTTACCCCAGCACAGCCCACATTCTTCTGAGCCCCGGCGAAAATCAGTCCAAACTACAGAAAGCAACAAGACGCAGTTATAGTAAATTTGACTTGAAGGGATCACAAAACTAAAAATGTTTTTTCAGAGTCAAATGGATTCATTCTCTGTACGGGGGCTATTTTAGGATGTCTGAAACCCAGCTCATCAGGCTCAGGTCTTCATTGTTAGACTTCACTCACTGCTTGGCCACAACTGCTGCTTAAGATAAATCTTGGCACATTACAACGCTATTACGTTAACATACATATTTAATGTTTAGCACGTCAGCTTCTTACCATGCCAGCAGTGCTACTAACATGTCTCTGTCCTATTTTTCAAATTGTTTTTCTTCATATTATATTTCTTATATCTAACTTTGCTTTATCCTATTATAAGTTATTTTACCTTGTATATATTTCTATAATCAGTACAGCTTGTGTCTTGTTTCAACTTTTAGATGGATGTTGTTGTTATCATCTACTATCTATATGGAAATTACAGGAAAAGAAGCCCAAAAGTCAAGGAGTTGAATATGTAGTGTCATTCTTGGCCTTACCTTCGATACATCCACAGGTCTTGACAGGAAGTTGGAGGACATGTCGCAGACAAGGACCACCCCATTTGTTTCAGGTGTGAAGTTGAATTCCACGCCATGTACCGTCTCGTTGCAGCAGTAGTAAACATAGGAGGCTGAGGAGTTCAGGGTCCAGGTGCTGGGGTCGGGGATTTCTGGAGGGAGCAGCAACAGAATATGGTCAAATCAAGATTAATATGGTTAAAGCCTACAGCTGGTCACAGCAACATACAGTATTTGGATTTTACATGCTCACAGCAACATACAGTATTTGGATTTTGTGTTACATACAGTATATTAAGTTTTAATCCATACGTGTTCTACATTAATTAATTGACATTAATTCTACATTCCTAATTAAATATCATAAAGTGCTTCCAAATACTAGGATCAACAAGAACTCCACTGAAAACCAGTATCAGACACAACCATATAGCAGAGGCTGCTTGCATACCGGAGTCTTTCACTGGTGTTTGTCTATTGCTTATTATGTTAACAGCCTGGACACAGCCAGGATTTTGCAGAGGGACTGTTCCTAATGCATCATGGATGACAATAAGCACTCATAGGAGCTGAAACAAGTTTTGTTTGTATGAAGATGGCAATTAAATTAAACTTTCAAATAAGGAAAACAGAAACTCTTGATGTAACCATGATATGAAAAACCTGCATTCTGTTAATAAACTATTTGCACGATTAGCACTGAGACATTTCCCTATGCACACAGACTTACTCATGTAACTATCCAGCTTTGGGTGGACAATGTTGATTTGGCCATATTTCTCTGCTTCTTTGGCTGCTTTCGCTGACCAGGTGCCGGTCACCAGGTAATCGGCACACCTGTCCTTCTGCAGGCCAATGAGGTTCAGAGGAACAGAGCTGAACTGTCCAGACCCACCGCCCTGCAGAAACAACACCTTGTAGTTGTCTGGGATATTTCTGCGAAGACAAAAAGGGGGAATCATGTTAAATGGCACAGACATCGTCATGTGCATGTGAGTCAATTCTACAGCTCACCCATACACCACAGAGACTCCAAAGATTTCCAACAGACAGTGTCCAAGTCCACTGGTGTGCAAATCGTTTTAATACAGAAATCTTTACATATTAATGTAAAAGTTAAAACCACAAACATCTGGTTATCTGAGGACTATAAAAATATTATCTACAGTTAGCTTTTAATTTTCTGTTTTCTCAACAATCTGCTACGCTCCACCACGCTCTGCCCAGCTCCTCAGATGTTTGCCGTAATGAAATTACAATAAATATTTGTACAATATGTTAAGTGCTTTGGTCAGCTGCGCTGTGGTAAAGCGCTATATAAATAAAGTTGAGTTGAGTTGAGTTGAGTAAATGAGAATGCAACTAAACTTAGTGATCAAGCAGAAAGAATTGAAAATCTCTGATCAGTTAGAGAGATTCAGTCCCACTCAAAACCTTTTAGAAGCTAATATCTCTGTACTGCTGCCAGTGCCTTTCAATGAGTCTGGGTCACAGGAGGCGTCGACAGCACCTCTCCACATTAGGACAAGTTTTGGAGCAGATTTCTACAATAAATATATTTGAAAAAAGCTGTATACTGTGGCTTAAACTTAGTTGTATGAGTCAGTATTTGTATATCACAGTCCTCTAACAAGACCTCTCAGTCCTTTTTCAACCTAACTTAGGTTGTGTTTTGTTAAGATGGCATTAAATCCAGGTTTATAAAACCCTTAACAATAAAAAAAGTACTTGAATTTACAGTATAAACACATAGTGTATATGAATTACAAACCTTTAGAGATTTGCAAAAAGTAAAACAAGGTTCAACTTGTCTTGATGGATTAGCGCAGCCTAACCCTAAACATTTTTAGGCATTCAGCCATCATGTCTCTGACGTGGAAACGTCGGAGACTGACGACAAATGGACAATGTTGTCAAAGAACTTAAGGCCTTGAGGAACATGGTAGGAAAAGTACATATGTTTTTAATGTGACAATATTTACTCGTTCATTCTCTTTGCGCAAGCATTACATCTTAATCTGATAATCTTCTGTACATGTGTGTATGTGGGTGCTGTGCAAGTTTCCCACAGTATGTTGTTTAAACTAAACATTAAATCAAAAGACATCAGATGTTTCCAAAAAAGTGTATTACCACATTACTGTGTATACTGTATGATGACAGTGCAACTACTTTGAAACTGCAGCACCACTGTTCCTTTAAGGAGAGAAGAGTGAAGAGAAAGGATAATGTGTGAAACAACAAAGGCAACACTTACAACAACTCTCGCAGCAGATTCTCTGTTTTGTTGAGGATTTTGCTGAAGTCGGATGATCGGTGACTCATCTCTGGTTTGAGCAGAATCAAAAAGGGATGGAATTTAATCTCGCTGTCATGGACATTTACTCACCTTTTATCAAATTTTTCATATGAGCTCATATTTACAGCACATATTCCAGTGGCTGAACTAGGGATCAGGTAATACCGTTAATGTGCTGCTTTGACTAGAGTGTTGCATTACAGTGACACTTGCTTTTATTATTTTTTCCACCTCATTTATATCAGCAAAACACCTCTCTGCATAATGAAATACAGTTCCTAATAAACTGGAAACCAAGTTTATGTACTGATCAGAGAGAATACAGTAGCATCCCAACATTTAAAATACATCCCAGCTCTACTCTACTCACCAAGAACACTGATACCAGTGCCACTGTAGTTGAGAAGCTCCTTCTGTGCTTGAAGCAGCACCTGCAATACCAAGTCACAGATAAAGTCGTTTTTCAAATACATTATACATCAGAAATTGTGGCGGATGTTCGAGTTTTTAAGAGGTTTAAAAAATAAAGTCTTCACAGCAACAAGATGTCGGATGTAAATAGGTCAAGTCCAAAACTCAGAGGCAACCCGGAGAAGCCGGCATGGTCGAGCTTTGTCAGTAACCCAGGCAGTATAATGACACAGGAGATCCAACAGGGACATCTGTAATTAAGCCACAGCTCTGTCTCATGCAAATAAAAATAATCCAGACTTTGGTGTGATTTGTAGGGATGCAACTAACCATCACTTTCATTATCAGTTCATCTACAGATTTTTTTGACAACTTATCATTTGACCCAGCAAACATCAGAAAATAATTTCAAAAACTGTCATTTCACACAAGCACAAGTTCAGAATTTAGAGATATCCACTGTGGTTCTCACCAGCACTACAGAGTTAAATGATATTTTTAAGGGCTGCTAATACTTATTATTTCCATTACTGAATAATCTGACAAATATTTTAAAATGTCCAGTTTCTCGTGCACAACAGTAACATCTTCAGACGTCTTGTTTTGTTAGACCAATACTAAAAACCTACAATGTAGTTTGCAAACTATAAAAACTGAAAAACCAACAAAACTCCCCAGCGCGTTTATATACGTTTTGTGCAAAGGACCAAAACAAAAGGATATAGTACAAACACAAGAAGAGAATGTACCTGGATGTTTGTTTTACCATAACATGCGTATTAAGTTTGATAAGGCGTTTTTTCTGCCACCTAGAGGTTTTATTTATCAGATTTCCCATGAATGAATGAGGCTGATGCAATTCAACACGGTGTTTTCATCTAGACAACAGCACCAAAACCTGCAGCCGTTTCCTCACATGGCTCCTTAGCAGTCCCCGTTCTTATGTGCGTAAAAACTGAATATGTAAACGCTGAGTTGTGGTGTCGCATTGATCGACTGCATTAAAGACTCGAATGTGAAGGTGCATCGGCACAAACAGGCTCCATCGCAGACAATCTGGCCACATCTCTCTTCTGCAGTAACTGTTCACTTGTCATGGATGGGTCGGCTTTTACAGCTCCTTGTCACCGCTACACAAGTAAAACCAGACCTAAACTTACGGACTGTGGGAGTTTTGCAGGTCCAGCTCCAAAGTTGATGATTTGTTTCTGCTCCATGATGTAACACTTGCGTTCAGCTGGTGGATGTTTTCTCCGTTTGGCTCAGCGACGTGAAGCGATCGCGCACTCGGCTGTCCTTCTGTGCACCTACTCTCCGCGCCCTGGATACCAATTAGCAGTGCAAAATGTCGCGTTCACGTGCTCCTCGTACGTGCACGTTCTCGTCTAACAATACGTATAAATTGTATCGCGTGCTGGGTGCACTGTATATTACAGCTGTTAGTTGATTTATCGATTATTCAGGTACAGATCATTTGCCAGTTCCAGCTTCTTTTATGTGTGATGATAAATCAGATATGATGGACATTTACATTTTTATAGCCCCACCAGTTACTTGGGAAATAATAAACAGATGAATTGAAAATAATTTGTTGCAGCCCACTGAGAGTCAATTCATTGATCACTTGATCAAAAGAAAATTAATAAGCACTGGGGCGGATCTAGAACCTTTTGGGTGGAGGGGCAGGGGTCACAGACTCAGAGATGGGTGGCTCATGTGAAATATGCAACATGTATATAGGCAGTATAAAAATCAAATATAATATAAAATAAAACTCATTTGGCCAGTATCAATTATAAAGCACCATAAATGTTAGTTGGTTATAAGGCAACCATTTGTCTTTGTTTTTCATTTTTCAGTCATTAATACTAACATCACATTGTGACTCTGGCAGGAGTGGCCAATCAGATCCCCACCCCTTTTGCTCCACCCATGAATCAGCAACCATTTTGGAACATTAATTCATCATGATAGAATGCTAACTCAGCATTGTGTGTTTCTGTAAAGATACAGGCGGAGACTTTAGGTAAGCACATGAGCAAAAACGACAGGCCTATATTGTGCCTTCCTGCTTCAGCCCTCACCCAGCACTAAACAAAACAACTACACACTCATAGACTGATATAATTTATTTTTGTCAAAATATTTGTATTTTCCTTTCTTTTGTGTTTGTTTTCATTACATGTACTGTACAATATACTGTAGCAAGTAGATATAACACTGCCTCCTATTGTACATATTTAGCATCATGTACAATCAGACTGCCTGACATCCAACAAGTACCGATTACCTGCCTAAATGTGTAGACTCACAGACCAAAAGATGTTTAGGCTTTAGAAGAAAATGGGCTGCATCCCACTGTTGTGCAAGGAGTATGGACCACCACAGCATGAGCCTGAATAGCTGAATAAAACTACAAGAAACAGAACACACTGAAGAGAAGAGCCAAATAAATGGAACTGGGAACAACAGCCGTTTTGAACACTTCAGCTAAACAGACCAAGTAAAAGTTGTGCAGTTCACCTTTAACCCAGATCCTTCCTGTTTAACATTCTGACATCCAGCTAATTGGTTGCTTTAGCTGAGCTAAGCTAGATGAGAGGCACCTCCCATGGCAAGAACTGCTCCAAAGTGTGTGTACCTGGTATTACTCACACTGTGGGGACTTGGCCTTCCTCATGGGGACCCGACATACGTAAATGAACTTTATTGTGACAGCTTGGTTTAAGGTTAAGGTTAAGCAAGTGATTGTTTTGGTTGAGTTTAGGGCACGTCTCCAGGAAAGTCCCCACAAGGGATCAAAATAAATGTGTGTCTCTTTAGTATTTTCTATCTATAGGCCACATGTGCCAGGATGATCTCGCTGGAATGATCAGACAGGGTTGTGTGCCAGGGTTAGAGCACTGCTGTTATCTCCAGCACACACTATAAATAAATAATGAGCGCAGAGTGTCTGAATACCCAGCCTGGCCTTTAGGAGCCAGATGAAAGAAAGTGCATCTCTGCTTCTCCTTTGGGTTCCTGGCGACCCATTTCTGCCCCTTCCTCTGTGTCCAGATTTCCCACCCTGACTCTCCGTCTCGTGCGCCACAGAAGTATGGCGGGGAAGGCATGCGTGAAGGCCTTTCTGAAGTTGCTTCCCATGAAAGCATAAACCAGCGGGTTGATGGAAGAGTTGGAGTAAGACATGCAGTGACCCCAAATCTTCAGCTGTGGATGCAAAATTTAAGACAGACAGAGGAAAGTCATCAATCCGTGTCCAAGTTTTTGAAGCAAGGGCCGGAATTTCTGTCCCTACAGTCCTGTCATTCAGAAAGAGTTAAATTTAAACTGTAGAACCAAGCCACAGCATATTACTATTTCCATTTCTGCTTTATGTGATATCCTCAGTGTTACTTCATACAGAAACATGGGAATCTCCTGGATAATGTTATGCTTTGGTCACAAGTTTTAATTACTTCAGCTTTGTGTCTGCAAAATTGTTTTTTCATGTCATCACTTTGGTACAGCAGACAGCTCAAGATAATACAGACCCACAGGTCTTAGCTGCTGTTGCCATGGAGGAGAGTCAAGTCTGACATGCAAATCAAAGCAGTAGCACATTTAAAACTTCTTGTTGTTGAATTTGTGAACAAAACTCAGTGAATTAATTCAAAACTGACTCAGGTTTTAAAACAAAACTGAGTGAAGCTGCAGGCTGTTTCTGTCTTTTATTCAGTTTACCTATCAACCTACAGCAGAGTGAGGCTCACTGATTCAGTCATCATTGAGAGTAAGTCACCTTGTATAGAACGTAACTGCGGAAGCCAAAAGCTTGCAAGAGGATGCAGACCTGGATGGGGCCCCAGCACATGAGGAACAGAGCCACCATCACCACCACCATCCGAGACACTTACGCCCGCACTGCTGCCGCTCTCTCCGCCTGTGCCTGGAGCTGGAGTTAGGCAGGCTTTGTAATGTCTTTGTAATGATCATCCACATAGTTATCAAGCAAAAATAAGTTTTTCATGTAGCTAAGTCTTTCTCTGACTTGGTAGCTACTGTCGATGGGACTCACACTGGGTTGGCCCATGCGCTTTAGCATAAAGGCGTAACAGGTGGCGATGGTGAGCAGAGGCAGCACGTAGACGGTTAGGAAGCTGTAGACAATGAAGGCTCTCTGGAGGTGGGCTGAGGGGAAGACCTTGCTGCAGTATGTCTGAGGGCCAAACCAGTACCCTGCCTCAAGACGCTGGTACACAGCTACAGGGATCAACAGAAGAAAAGAGCCTGGAGAGGACAGCGTGACATGACTGTGTGACCGAGAGCGTGATGTTGGTCATAAATTTCACTTATTGCTACAAAATGCTGGCTCTAAACCAAAAAACATGGTGTCTGTGGGCAACAGGAAAATCCTCTGCTACTCTCTAGAATTACAAAGACAGTACCTTTCCAGAGATTTGGTGATGATTTTAACATTTCTGTAATTGGCAGGTTTTCTCAGGTTATCACACTAAGATATGGTGCCTACTGCTCGCATGTGGTCCTACATCCATGCTCTATCCTGTTTATATCATATAACTCAAGACAACTGACAAGAAGGTAACAAGAATTAAACCTGAATTCAAAGCTTCAACACATCCAACATTCACAAACTAAGATTCTTTTTTCTACGGTATGGTGAGGTCATAAAGCCTAAAGAAAGAAAGGCAAAAGGAGAAATCTGAGCTATAACTGATCCAAAATCTTTTTTCATTCTGTGTCACTAGACTTCATTTCAATAGAGTACATCAGTGTTGAGGTGGATTATTAATAAAAAGAAACAACAACCTCAGAAAACTGCTGTTGAATCAGAACTAATTTATCATTTTCTGATTAGTCTTTATAACATCAACACATTTTCAGTCTTCAAGTTAATGCAGTAAATAATTCAAGTCAAATGTGTTATCGAAAGATAAACAAAAGCAAGACTTGTTATCACTGTCCCAGTTTCAGCTGTTTGTGAAAGTGCGGGTGGTGTATTTTTGTGACACCTATCCATATAGACACAGAGACGGCCAGGGCCATGCGGGGGGTGCGGTGTCGCAGCGACCGCAGAGGATAGACTGTCACGTAGCAGCGGTCCACGCTCATCACTGACAGAGTGATACATGTTGCCTGAGCTGTCACCTGAAAACACAGACACGCATGCAAGATTGTCTCTTTTACTGCACAAAGAAAATATTCAGCTGCTTTGTTTGATACATTTTTGGGTTGGTTTTATGTTTTGTACCTTGTAGAAACTGCTATTGTAATAATGTAATAACAATTTGGAGCAAAACATTTTGTGTATAACTTACAATTACATTTTATATTGCTATTATATTGATTTTGGGTGGCAAATGTTTAAATGAAACACATAATAGCTTGCATATATTATATCTGAACAGGTGCATTTTAAGGGTTTCATTTATACTATTTTATTTGTATGTGTTAAAGGAAGGTCACTGTGATGGCCACAGTGACATTTTAATGGTGTTATCATTGTAGCAGGCCTGTTTGCTTGTGTGTTTGTATGTGTATCTCACTTGCTGAAGGTAGTTCACCAGTCGGCACATAAACTCTCCAAAGATCCAGCTGGGCAGTGGGTAAAGTGTGGCAGTGAAGGGCACACAGCAGACCAGAAACAAGATATCAGTCACTGCCAGGTTTACTGGAAGAGAACAAGAAGAGTGATTGTGTGGTTGTAGAAAAACCATATTAACTTTTCAACAAATGCAAGTCTCACAAAGAATCCTATGGAATGACCAATGGATGTAAAACACAAATGGACGAGAGCTTAATTTCACGTATTACATCTCTTTCCTATAGAAAGTCACCAGTGTTTTCTCTTAAGAACATAAAAATGACCTTTTTGCACCTACTGCTTGTGTGTGGGTCATCCTGCTTCAATATTGTTAAGCCGTGTACTGCCAAAAACACTGGACAAACTAAAATGCAACGGTGAAAGAAGTATTTCAATAATTTAGTATTACCACAATATGTAAATACTCTATTACAACTAAATTTCTGCAGTCAAAATTTTACTTAACTACAGATATAAGCAACAAAATGTTCTTCAAGGATCAAAAGTAAAAGTACCTGTTCTCTTTATGTACATTGGTCCATCAGTGTTGTATGTCATGTATTAGCATGTAACAATAAGTACTTTAATGTTGTAGTTTGTCAAGGTGGAGCTAATTTTAACTACTTCATATACTACTTTAGCCAAATCTATAATAATGCATTATATAAAATGATCATATGCTTTGTATATGAATCCTAAAAGTAACTAGTACTGTAACTATAACTGCTAAATAGATAAAATGGAGTAAAATACACTATTTCCCAACCAGGTGTAGTGCAATACTAGGATAAAGCAACATGAAAAGAAAGTCCTGCTAATTTGCTTTCAAATACAGTACTTGAGTAAATGTACTTAGTTACTTTCCACCAAGAAAAGACGACATTCAGTAATGTTACCTATGTAAAAGTTGGTGACTGTCTTCATCTGCTGGTGTTTGGTGACCACATGGATGACCAGCGAGTTCCCAACCAGGCCAACCAGCATGATCAGGCCGAAGAAAGTAGGGACCAGCCAGGCGTCGACCAACACCGGTGGCCTCCGTCCCTCCAGAGCTATGGATTCATTGCATACATTCCCACAGTCTGGATTGTGTTTGGCTGTGGATTCCACCATCATCTTCACAGATCAGCAATATTTCTGTGGTACATATAGAACATTTGAGTTTTGTTGTGTCTGTTTCTCTAACACAACCTTATACAATTAGGACAAAAAGCACAATATTAAATAAGAATTGCAGCAATAGTCTGGTACATTCCAATATGTGCATATTGCTTTCATAATAATTATTATGCATAATGCCATTTTACCTAAGTTATTTAAATGAATAGCTGTTAGTCTGGATTTAAAACTAAATAAAATATTTAAGCATATTAAATAAGCTTTTTGCTGGATAATAAGCACCTCTCACCTCTGTTGAGCCTCAGTAAAGCCAATTTTAATCCTGTGTTGGTCAGTGGGATGTTCTGATCTCTGCAGGTCTGAGATGAAAGCACCATTACAGACCACCATAACGGGGTAGGGGAGGGTGTGTTTGAGGGAGACCACAGTCAATTTGCTTTGTGAGAGCAAGAGAGACAGGCTGAGGTAGTACATGCTTTTAAACCAAATCTCCATCATCACCTGTAATTAGAACTGGTTGCCCTGTAAAATGACTGTAGCTGGATTTGAATAGTGTTCTTTGATTTCTTGTCATGTTAACATCCAGATGCTGTTGTGTGTCAGCTGCAGCTTAGCCAAGTCTGGAGGTGTAAAGCTGAGCTTGACAACCTGAGTCTAAAATCGCTCTGACAATTAGTAGGTTTAATGAATTAATTTCCTCAGGAAATTATATGTTGTGTTGGCATGTAACAAGGTCAATGATGCTATCAGAGCATGGTCTGGTTTTCACATAATAACTCAAACCACACCCCCAAACAATAGCCAACCATTAATTTCCTCCAAATTCCATCCCAGCTGAAACTTATTCCCACACATTTTATTTTATTAACACTAACAGCTGACCTTGCAAAAACAGGAAACTCATAATAACTAGCACCTACCTGCAAATCAAAATAACAGTGAATGAATCCTTGAGGCAGCTGGGGGTCGTGGTGACAGGACATCTTGCTCTCCCACCACTTTCAGCACAGCAAACCATTTTTAGTGTTAGTGTTCTCATTACATCCAACATGACCTCGGCTGCAAAGCAGTAAGTGGCAAACACAGCAGGATACATGTGGAGATGAAGCGTTGTAGTACAGAGGTGACATTTGTTGTTTTTGCAGCTGCTGTTTGATACATTATCCTAGACATCAAACATATTAAAATAGATATTTTTTGTGCTTGAGATGAAATAAATGAAAACTGAATTATGATGGAATTACATATGCCAAATTGTCTTTACAGAACTGACGTATAGAATGTGCTCAAGGCTTCTGAGTATTTTAATAATACTCCATGTGGCACAAACAGATGCTAGGTTGAAAAATAAACAGACAAACTATTCTTGCAGGTTTTAGTTCGAATTAACCCATTATGTGCTCTGTACCTTTTCTAACTGGGTGGTAAAGAGGTGGATTTAAACTAACTGCAACAGGGCCCTTTCTCAAGCTTCTGAGAGTGCCTGGGGACGCCATATTTCTTTGAGGCACCCAGAAGCAGCTTCCTCTGGGGGTTATTTGAGAGTGACAATGTGACAGTCAGCCTGCAAGTTCTAAAAAGCTAGTAGGTAATCATACAGTAAAAACTGTATATGTCATTTATCACTACCTTAAGCCTTAAAAACTCTGCTCTTAGAATCTTTATCCTTGTTTAGACTGTCCATGACCCCAGAGGACTGGTGAAACCCTCCTGTACCTAACGGTTCAGTTCAGTATAAACCTAGCTGGTTCTGACAACTGAGCAGTCTCCATGTAAGCTGAGACGAACATTTAATAACCAAAGTCATCACCATGACAACTGCTTTGTCATTTCAGTTAACATGCAAGAGATTCCAAGTCACACCAACTCGTAGTACTGGATTTTGCCATTTATTATTTCATATGTACACAGATGTATTGCACATGTTATAAAACCTAAGAACAGTCTATACAAACACAAAGTCCTGGGTTGGATCAAGCAAAAAGAAAGTAACATAAAACTTCTGCATTCCTGTGTAAGAACACATTCTGTGCGTTGTTGCTTTTTGTGCGTTTGCGTGGTTCATGGGATACTGCATTCTTTACATTTACGGAGAGATAAATATACTTTAACATTTCAGACTTTACAACCTGATAAAGCAGATTAAAAAAACTCAGCCTCTTCCATTTTTGCATACTGCTGGTACAGGACACTATCTAACAGTGACTTCATCAAACAGCTGATGATGGCCCTGACATCTTGACTTTGGTGGACAGAGTCAAACTTGAACACAGGATATTTAATAGTGTCATGCTTTGTTCTCTTACTTTTAAATCTTGTCAAATCTCAGCTTTAGTGAACACGTTCTTGGCCTGTGCTGTACCATTTTCTCCAGCATACAAGTCATGGTGAGACTTGACTGAGTTTTAGAAAATGCTTTTCTGTAAAATGACACAAAAAAAGAAAAGAAAAGAAACACACACCTTGCTTTTGAGGCCCATCTATGGTTTTTCAGATGCAGATCCCAGAATGTAAAAAGGCAGCTGCAGACATCACAGTTATCTGAACCTAGAATCTTTACGTTGACATGGTTTCAACTACAAAGACTGTATTAACACCTTCCCCTAAACAAAATGCATACTTGGACTGCCGGGGTACATGTATGCAAGTGGTACAACAGAGGAAGAGTAGTGATAGGACCGGAGGCACGTCCACGTCTCAGAGATTTCCTCCAGACTGACTTCCTTGTCAACATTCAGTCCCTCAGTCTTTACGGATGGGACAGTGTTTGGAGCAGGATGGCTGTGGGAGGACGGTGACTCTGTTATGTTCATATGTTGAAGCTTTCTCCACAGCCACATGTGCCCTTGATGTTGGGATTGTTGAAGACAAATTCACTGGAGAGCTTTGACTCCACAAAGTCCATCTCAGTTCCCAGAAGGGTCAGCTGAGCCTTCTTCTCTATGAACACTCTCACCCCTGCAAAAGTATCACAGCAGAGCCACCATTAGTCCCATGATATAACATTAAAGGTGCACAAACTCACTTTACAAGTGACAAGTTTGCAGCACTGTTTTATAAGCCACATTCAGAATATTTCAGAATAAGGAAACCTAAAAATCAAAGCAGAGCTTACCCTCCTGTATGACTTCCTCATCAGATTTGTCTTTCTCCTTGGTGTAGTCCAGTGTGTAGCTCAGTCCATTGCAGCCACGTGTTCTCACTCCAACCTTCAAACCGATCTGAAGAAGAGCCAGTGGCACAGAAACATTTACTTTTTCAAATTTTGCTATAAGATATACTGTATATGCACAGCTTACAGGAGATTGAATGCATCTATTTTGATGTCAAGTACTCATGTCACTTCTGCGTTTACTAGACCAGAGGCCACAGAAAGCAGTATTATCTTCAAAGAACACCTCAACGGACAAATCATTTTTGTATGATGATTATTGTCTTAGCAGAATATAGTTTTTAGGGTCCTTTCATTACTACAACTTCTACAAAACAGTAACAAGGTCTTAAAAGGTGCCTGGTTTTGTTTCTCTATAGCAAAACTAGTTTCAGCATTTCAAAGGCAGAGGGAGCTCAGACTTGAACTGAGTTGATCCTTGTTCAACATGTTCAGTAAGTAAACATGGTAGGTAGGTAGGTAGGTAGGTAGGTAAACATCTACAATACGAAATAACCCTTCTAACAGACAGAGAGATGAAATAGATGTTTGCTGATATTACTGTAGTCTAGTGCCACTAGATATGAGATCAACCACCACCTGTCCTTATTAACACAGCATGCAGACTTTGTCTACAAAAATGCCCAACAGGCCATGTTTCTCCTGAGAAGGCTAAAAGGATTTAATGCCAGACACGATATTGCAACAGTAGTAAACTGGTCACTCATCAAGTCAGCCCTAACATTCAACACGGCATCCTGGTTCAATTTCCCCACAGAGAAAAGCAAGAAAAAGACTAATCATCAAGTGTGCAACCAAAGTCATCAGCAACATTCAGACCCAACTCTCAGACCTTTACAGTCATGCAGTGAAAACAAAGGCAGACTTCATCACTAGGAACCCCTCACACCCCCTTCATCACTCCTTTCAGCTTCTCCAATCAGGCTGTCAAGTGCCACTGACCAATAGGAAAACTTCAAAATCCATTTTAAACAAGGCCAAACAGACTCTTACTACATCTTCATGCAACTTTGCACACATGCTTCTATTTACAGGGAGGAGGCCCCGGGGAAGACCCAGGACACGCTGGAGGGACTATGTCTCTCAGCTGGCCTGGGAACGCCTCGGCCTTCCCCCGGAGGAGCTGGAGGAAGTGTCTGGGGAGAGGGAAGTCTGGGCATCTTTGCTTAGACTGCTGCCCCCGCGACCCGGTCCCGCATAAGCGGAGGAAAATGGATGGATGGATGGATGGCTTCTATTTACATGTTATGGGACTGATTGTGGTTTGTGTCCCTTTACTTATATCTTTGTTGTTCATGAGCCTCTAACTCTAGAGATTAAATATGTTTTTTTAAAATTTGAATTTACTTATCCTATTTGATCTCCTTATATTTAAAGTTCACTTCCAGAAATCTGTTGCCCAAAAGCTCAATTGGCTTTAGCACAGGAAGAAGAAGAAAACAGATTTTGCCTTAATTTTCTTTCACATATTAGGCTAAAATGTCCTTAAATCATGATTTAAAAAGCATTTACAACCCACAAGGAGAAAAGGATAAATCTTTTGATGAGAACAAAATTCAAGACTCCAAACAACACAGCACCCTGCGGGTTTTAGAAAAGATCCAGAGAAGCACTGTCTGTTGGACAGCATGATAGGTCAGTGAATGTTCCTAGTATTAATTACTCACATATTCTGGCTTCTCCTGCAACAAGAACCTGATCTTGTTCACAGCTGCTGGAGTCTAAAGAAAAGACAACAGAAAATACAAGGTTAGTACTTACAGGTACAGTATACTGTACACTGGCTTCAGGTAGAAGTGGTGTATTTTGACAAAACTGAAAGTTTTGACCACACTGAGCCAAAGAATGGCAACAGAGAAGCAGACCATAATGATGGTTTAAGTTTCTGTAGCAGTTTTGTTACATTTTTTCCCCCACTGTGAAAACACTTGCAGGGGCTAACACTCCCAATTCATCTGATATTAGCAAACACCTACACCATGAAGAAATCACCACCCCTGTATCTCTGGCTGTAACCGAGTGCATGTAGGTGCAGAAAAAGCTGATCCCATGTGAAGTCATTTGTGAGGCTGAGATGGAGATGTTCCACTCCTTCACGTTTACTTCAGCACACTACCTTTATCAGCTCAGACCACCACACAAACATTATCTTGTAAGTGCACTGTCAGCAGAGCCCCTACTCACTATCATCCCGCCTATAACAACAAACCACAATTCTGCTTTGACAGTCTATTTCCTTTACTATCACATCACATGCCTTGGAGCTACTTTTCCTCTCGCACTGATTATATTCTGGTATGTTTTACTCTGTTAAGACACCTAGACCAGGTTAACTATTAAGGCCATAGCATATGATTAACAACATTTTCACACTCAAACAGTCATTCAGTGTGCCTTTATCAACTGCATTCATTAGCCAATGTTCTTCCCACTTTTTATTAATAGGTTTTCTTTGTCACCCATCTAGAACTGTGGCCCACTAGGGTACCACAGTCCAAAGAGACGTGAAATCTTCACTTCTGACAAGCTGTGATAGACATTTTTCAGTATTCTCTCCGCATTTCATCGACTCCACAAATAATCGACGAATTAATAGGAAAAAATCAATCGACAGTTTAACTGGTAATGAATATAACTGTTAGCAGCAGCCCTAGACCAAAATAAATTTCACCATCTGCTTAATCGAATTTATCAATTTTTAAAAAATCGGTATTGTATACATGCAAAACTAAATCACTATCTCCATAATCATAAATCCTGCATATTGGACTTCTCGTAAATTAGGACGTTTACCTTGGATATTGTTTTCATAACTGCAGCAAAAGGTTGTACTACTTAACACAATAGTCGATGGTACATTATTAACTAATAGATTTGCTTAGCAAACGTTATACTTGTATAACCGTCCTAGTCTCTTCATCAGCTAATATACACGGAAAAATCGAATGCTTCGGGAAAGCTCCATGTACCGGGTACAAGTTGTTCTGTACGTCCTAGTCGTAAACAGCTAACCTAGCTAGCTAACTTTGCATCACGTATTGGTAACGGCTGCTGGTGTTAATTTGAATTAACACGTACTCAACTAGCATACAAGTGTTTAGCATTACGTATTTACAGCCACCGTTTGTAACTTACCAGTGTCAGTGCTGCTTTTGTAGGCAATAGTTTTCTTTTGGTGACCGCTCGGACGGTCGCTCGCACCACGGGCACAGACATGTTTCTACAGTTAAAATGACAACATTGTTTTGCGCAAGCGTGTAAAAAATGGCAACCGCCTCATTTTAGCAACCCGTTTAATGATTGGTTGTAATGATGACGGTCAGGCACGACAGCCAATGGGCTTAAAATGTCTCCGAAGATGCATATCAGGTTGTTATGTAACCTTCCTTCTTACAGCAGTTATGCCTGCATATACACACTTTTTAATGATTCATGCTTTTTACTTGTAATGTTTTCCTTTTGTTTCTCTAACTCGCTATCACATAGCTACTCTGTTACACTTTACTGTGCTTTATTTTGTGTGGAATATGTCTTCTAGTTTCAAGAAAGCCACCTACTGTCCAGGGTGGGCAAAATGTGCATATCATAACCAATGACTTCATTTTGTCATTAAATTCTACATTTAAAGAATATTGTTGGGCTTACAGACTAGTAGCAAATGTATGGAGAAAATGCTGGAGATAGCTAATCCATTATTTCAGCTTTTGTCAGTTATGGGAAACTCACCTCACTGTTGCCAAAATCTCTGGTCACATCTGTAAGTGTTGCAGTATGTAATGATCACAGACAGACTCCAGGCAACCTACAGACTGCTGATTTTGCACAAACTCGTATAAATAATGTAAAAACAATATTCCAAACAGGGATTTGATCTGTTTAATTCTCGGACACACAAAATGGATCACTAGCCAGCATTTCCTGGCAAGATCCAGGGTTTCTTATTAACAAACTTAACCTCTCATCTTGTTTCATAATTTTGACTTAAAAGTCTGTGCACCATAACAAAATGAAGCCTTTGTAGCAATTAAACATATTTTGCTCCTCCTTGAACTAACTGCAATTACATTAATTTAGGAGCTGCGTTTGTAGCCTACTACATCCATCAGCTGAACGGGTTGTTGTAAACCTCAACCAGTGAGTGTAAGCATGAAACTATTTTTCTGCACTATTCCCACCATGTGTGGAGACACGGGTCAGATTTAGCAAAGGAAGTAAAGGCAGCTGAAGGGAAGTTTGCAGTTTCAAAATAAGGGTTAGTCAGCAGTCTTAAAAATAATACAATGATCCTGGAAAGCTACAAGGTGGTTTACATAGACACAAAACAGAGATATTGTAGGTAGAGCTGCTTTCGAGACTGATAGAAACACTGATTGATGTACACCAGTATAGAAGATAAATTTGACAGGATTTAAAAGAAATTCCATTAAAAAAAAGGGCCATTACAAAAGGAACACTGTCATTCAACTTACAACCTAGATTGTAATTTTATTTGATTAAATCACAGGAAACAAAACCCTCAATTAAAAAGCATAAGAACTAAGTGAGCTGATCAGTGACTTTTTGGCTGAATTGAAAACAACTTGATCTTAGACTCTTATCTGACCTCAAGTTACTTCAGAAGCAGAGAACAGATTATACCATTACCATTTTCATTTGTCTTACAGCAGTAGCAGTATTCACAAACACTAAGTCTCACAACACTGAGGACAGGTTTATTTACAGACACTATAATTACTTATACTTTCAAATTTAAGAACTTTCAGAAATCTGCCACAATGTTTGAAATGTAACAAATGAATTTAAAAACTTAACTGTGTAGGTAAACAAAGACATGAAGTGCATGCATAATGGCTTATCTTGTTAAAATAAAAGCTTTAAAAAGCTCCTCTGAAGAGAAAGTTTTGGGGGGGTGGGGGGTGGACCAAACACATAAAAAGACCCTATTTGGCTTCAAGTCAAGGCGTCTTGGCTTTGGCTTTTAACGGGCTCCCATTGGCCCGACTGTCCCATTCATAATTGATGGTTTCTGGACTTTGGGTTGGTGTCTGCTCAGACAAGAGTGGAACCCCATGATTTGTGTAGCCACAGCTGCTGCTCATTCCACTGGGCTCTTCCTGTTACCACAGCGACTCAAATTTCGGCAGGTTAAACTACCTGAAAACAAACCAGAATTCAATTGTCAAATTTTGATCTAAAACATATTTTTAGCTTGCACCAGCCACTTCTGTAATGTGAAAATACACACCTTATCAGGCTAAATGACAAAACAGGGCTGATTGCCTCATCCTGGTAAACTGACAGCTCTGTGTCTGCTTTAGTTGCATAAGATCACATTAGGTTACAAGTAATGCCACTCACAAAACACATTCCTGGACTGTACAGAAAAACAACAGATACAAACAGGATCCAAATGCTAAACTTCAGCCAAAACATCAGCAAGCATGCTTTTTGGCCAGAAAAAGATGGGTCAACATGAGTGTGCTGCAAAAAAGTCTTGCTTTCATTCTCTCCCCTCAACCGCCCTAAAACAAGTCAAGTGACCCAAAATACAGGACACTGTCAACAGTTATTACACACACCAATACTTCTGTAGAAAGTATACACAGTTTCTTGTCTCTGTAAATTATAAACCTGTTTTTGGTTCAAACAGGGGAAAACCAATTCAAAACAATGTATGCTGAAAGGAAAAACCTGTTATTTAAAAGGTCTTCCTATATTTCACAAATTAATTTAAAATAAACTTTCAAATCAATTAAATGTTAAATTAGCATTACAATGATGACGTGGGAAGAAATCTTTCACTGTAACACTACCTAAGGCTTTTCAACTGAAACAAGTACAGTAAATGTACATACCTGCTTGTGGACTTAATATCACATTTTGTTTTCTCTTCTTCTTCTCTTCTTGTATAGGCAAACCCTGAAAAGAGGAAGATCAACAGGCGCAGCAGTCTATTCAACTGTCCACTATAGTAACAGTAAAGACACATTTCATTGTTCCAAAATCAAGATTATACCTGTTTCTCCTTTTCTCGCAAATTTCTCAAGTGGGCTGAAGAGGGGGAAGAAAAGCCTTCCATCTTCACATTTCCTGCCAAATAACAATATTAAAGGGAAGTAATGCACTTCTTCCCTCTCTTTTATGAATAACATCAATGTAATGTATAGGAGAGAAAAGGAATCTAACAAACCAAACCTGTAGTTCTACCATGAACTTTAAAAAATATCTTTTGGAAGGAATAAACAATGCAACTAAAAAGCTCAAATAAAATAAGCCAAACTTTGTGCGAACCTGCAGGGCTTCTGTACAGCTGACAGTCCTTCTTGATGTGGGCACTTGATCCACACAGGTAACAGCAGCGCATCTCCAGTGCATCTCTTTTCCTCCAGCGCTCACTTTTGTGTCTGACCTGATCCTTGACATCCTCTGCCGTTTCCATTTTGTCTCTCAGGTGCTCTGGCCTCATCTCCGAGTCCCTTCTGTGCTTAGACCTTAAAATATAATACAAACATGTAGCTTGACACATGATGCAGATATACATTTATCTAAGTAAGTAAATGCTGTGACAAATTCACACAAATCATGAATGTACCTACTTCTTACGCATGGGGCAGTCCTTCATGAAATGACCAATCTTGCCACAGATGCGACAGCAGCGATCATTGGGAGCCACTTCTCCCTCAGTAAGAACTTCAGGATCAAAGAAAAACTCCTGGGGTGCATGAAGAAGAAGAACAGTGTTGGTGTCCAAATAATACCACTGCAATATGCAAATAGGGTGTTTAGACAGAAAATACTAACCATCTGACTGGGGTACACAGCAGGAAAAGCTCTGACTGGTGTGCCAAATACTCTTCTGCCATTGATGAAAGCCTTCATTATGAAGTTAGTCACTATTTTTAATGACAAACAAGACAAGAACATACATTTAAAAAGACAGAAAAATAAAGATAAAACAACAGCATGACAATAAAACAACAAAAGACAGCGGGAAGAAAGGGATAACCGTACTTTTCCTGGACAGACCAGCGCCCAGGTTATGATTCAGGTCAAATGGATCTGTAATATGAACAGACGAGAAAGCAGTCGTTTCAAGCAAACAGTAACAAAACTAATTAATCATTAATAGTGATATGCACTTAATGAGCTGGATAGACAGTAGCATCTAATAATGATACCCAAAGTAGCAAACAATTTCAGTAGGCTGGGTTGTTACAGGTGATTAGCTTAAACTACTGTGTTCTACTCCGGACCCCAAGTGTTAAACTAGCTGACCTTCAATGACAATGTATTTGGACGTCCACTGCTTGTTGAAGGTGGTGAGGCGGGCTTGCTGTCGGATACAGACGACATGCTCTCTAAAATCAAAATCCTCGGTGTAAAAGCGAAGCAGCCCAAGCCACAGCTCACCCACTGTCTCAGTGTTCCTCCCATAGTGTGGCCAACGGCTGGGCTGCAGATGGAAGGGGACAAAATCAACATATTAAGACTCTGTGACAGGCATATTCTCTAAAACAGTGGTCCCCAACCACTGGGCCGTGGCCCGGTACCGGTCCATGAGGCATTTGTTACCGGGCCGCACAGAAAGAATAAATAATTTATATAATTTCCATTGCATTGATTTTTAGAGTCTGGAAGATGTTTTATTATGAAAAACGACGTATCATCCACCTGTGCCCCTTGACACGTCAAGACGCATGTGTCGGTCACGACGTCACGTAATACGTTGCTAAAAAAAAAAACAAGCCCGCAAACTAGCAAAAATGAGTAAAAAACAAACATCTTTGAAGGGCTTCTTTTCAAAGGGGAAAAGGCCAACTGAGGAGCCAAAGAGGAGCCCACGACCACGAAGAAAAAGAAAGCTTCTTTTAACAGACAATATCAGGAGTCATACTTAAAATACGGATTTATTGCAACAGGTGACTCTCACTCACCATGGCCGCTCTGCATGTCTGTGTAACAAGAGGATCAGCTGCTGGAGATCGCAAATGACGGTGACCTTAAACGTACATTTGAGACAACAACTCTGCCGATGTTCTGGATGAAAATCAAGCCAGAATATCCTGAAATTGCCACAAGAGCACTGAAAACCCTGCTACCATTTCCAACATCCTATCTTTGTGAAGCGGGCTTTTCTGCAGTGACAGCAACCAAGACAAAATTACGGAGCAGACTGGACATAAGGAACACATTGCATGTGTCATTGTCTCCCATCAGCCCTAGATGGGACCATCTTGTTGCAGGGAAACAAGCCCAGGGCTCCCACTGACTCTGCATTATGGTGAGTTGATATAGTGTAGAATTATTGTAATTGCCTAATATAAAGTGTAATTGTTGCATTCAGATTACATACTATGAACTGACAAAGGTTTTTGTTATTGGAATCCCCGTGCCTCTACCCAGTCCGCGGAAAATTTTTCATGCATGAAACCGGTCCGTGGTACAAAAAAGTTGGGGACCGCTGCTCTAAAATGTTCAGTGACATTATATATATATATATATATATGCAAAATACAAAATGCTCACTAATGATTTTAAATCATCGAAGTAGTACACGTTCCAGCCATCAACTAGCACCTCTGGCTTCTTCTTTCCATCATAAATCTGAAACAAACACAAACAGTTGAGAAAGACTAAAAATTCAGTGTAAAGGCAATATCATAACTGGTCACATGCTTATTACCAAAATCATTAAA